GGGGGGGAGGGGATTGTAGGTTTGAATAAACGGTTTTTGGTAATGTTAGATACGAATTAGTATATAGTAGATATTGGGATACTGCTCGATGGTGCTGTGGTGAGACTATTACGGGATCGTATATACTTCTGGATTTTATCTAGGTGCGTTTAGATTATTAAAAAACATGGGAAACAGGAAAAATACGAATAAGTCCTGGTAAACCTATATAGAGACTTCCGCATAGATTGCCAAGTGGATAGTATTTCCGTGTGATGGGACAGTGTTCGTGTACTTTTTCGATTTACGGGAAATATCCGGAAATTGTGAGAAAACTACGTATCCGGCAATTCCTGAGGAGTTTTCATCGCTGATAAGTGATTTGCATCGAGTGTCTGAGCGACGATTGTTCCTTGATGTAAAATAAAAAAAAGAATAAGGATATTAAGGTATACGATATCACACAATTCTTCGTTACAAGTTTCGGAAAGCAATGTGAATTGTCTTGAAAAAAGTAGAATGGTGGAAAGTAAAATGCTTTTTTTTTTGTACGAAATTTCATGAAAATGAAAGTAATTTTATTTTATTTCTTATGGACACTTTCTTCCTCCTTTCATCACCCTCGAAATCTCATTGTTCCCAATGGGTTACAATTGTTTCTTTTTTATTCGTTCATTCGTTTGCGTATTTTCTTTTTTTTACTTCTCGTTTCTTTTCTCTTCTCAAGACTGCTCAGATCCTCACTCGCGTAACTATGTACTTGCTGAATAGAAGCTTGTCCTACTTAGCGTGGGTACAGTGTTCAAATGAATTCCTGTCATCTTGAAAAAGAATCCGCAGGCGAAAGAGTTTCGTTGGTAAAAGCTTTCCTTAGAGAAAAATAAAAAAGTGCATTGAAAGAGAAAGAAAAACAGGAAGGCATCAAGGAAGCTCATCAAATGAGTATAGCTACGTCGAATTTCTGGTTTTCCTCAACAGTGTGACAAAACGCGACGCTATGATATCCACTCGAGATAAAGTGCACGGATTCGCATTATCCTCCACGTTATTAATTGTTCCCCGACATCCATACAAGTTTCTGGTGCAGTCTGGTGAATCGTAGGACGTGGAAGTGAGCCTCTGAACTCCTGAATAATAATTGGAACACCCCTGCATGCAAAGTGCTCCGCTCTCAACTGTCGTAAATCACGGGTCGAATCCCATCTAGGAGCGAGCCGTGAAATCAAATATTTTCTATAATTAAAATACTCATCAAAACATTGATTAATTAAAGGACTCAATGGATCAAGAATTGCACGAGTGGCATGCAACTTTTTTTTAACACCAAAAAAAGTAGCTTCTGTGCATTTAAAAGTGCGTGAACTGCTGCTTCTTATAGATTTATTAAATTATAGCAGGGTGAATGAGTGATATGAAGAATATTGAATGGCATAAAGGTTCTAAATTTTTGTAAAAATTTATTTCTTAAATGATCCACTGATGTAAATGTCACGATGACGTCATAGCAGTGCATGCTTTGTAGCCTGGAGACAGTATTTTAATAAAGATTTATAAATGTGAGGATCAATACGAATTAATGGTAATTGATCCACTCAGAACCTATAGAAGATTATGTTATAGATGAACATTTAAGATAAGCCGTTCGGCTGTTTCAGTGAAGGATAAAGTTAGGCAGATCTAATTTTACGCTTGGGAACTTAATGCGCCATTTAAATCGGTAATCTGCGTCGCGACGCTATCATGGGATCGTGGGACGTCAGGAAAACTTCGCTACGTCTCGTTATCACCCGGATGCTCTAATCAGTGAATGTGACTATAATAAAAGGGATGCACTCGAGGATCTGAGAAAAAATGATGGGTCTGTTTGATCGCTTGCTTCTTGGTCAATAGTTCATAGTCGCAACGACGTATCGGACGTATGGGAAAGTCTTATCATTTGCGATAACTAGTAGTTTCTTGGGATATACCTTATCACTATTGGAGCAACTGCAGAAATTCATCGAATTTATTGTGCAACAACGACGACGCCCTAAAGTCCGTGTAAAGTTCAAAGAACCTGATGCACAGTGCATTGTACATACTTGTACATAGTCATAAATTCCAAGCAACACAATCTCCTCTCGTCATATACACTTCTCATGCATATTAACAAAAATATTATAGTGAATATTTTTTTATTAATCACGTTAAAAAAAATTAAATAATGAAGTTAATTTTTTTTTCTGACAATTGATTTTTTACGTCATTTCTATTAGTACCTTTAAACAAATGGCATTGCACAATAATAATGGAGACTAAAGAATAGGATTAGATATACATATATGTATGTATAATACATATATATGCGATTCCATCAGACTTTAGCAACCCGTATTTAATTTGCTGTGCTACGTGGATTCGGTCGTTTTTTATTTTGAACACATATCCCGGAGATGGTACATCGTATCAAAAAATTATCAAAAATGAAAGTTTTGTTTTTGCTTCCTCATAGAGGAAGCTATGTGACGGTGGAACATTTTTCTTTCGAGATTTTCATGTCACCATGTTAAGAATGTGCCAAAACGTCGAGAAAACACATTTGAAGAAAATGTCCGGATGAATGTATGTGTGTGTGTGTGATATGGCCTCTCAAAATTCAAACGTGTATAACTCGAGAACTGTCTTAGTTACAGCCCTCAAATGTTTGCAGGCATGTGCACCTCTATAATCCATTCATCGACTATAATTTTCGTCACGATTCAAGCTGCCGTTCGGATTTTATGTCGTTTTCAAATTCCCAAAAAAAGAACGTTATCACTCTAGCGATCGTAAATTTTGTGATACTCGTCTAAATTGTTCTTGACAAAACGATTTGTATCCAAGGTTGGTTGGTATTGCATTTAGGCCGAATCCATCGAGAAGTTTTGATTTTATGATATTTTGAATTTTTCGAAAAATCAACTTTATCGCTGTAACTAGCGCTTACTTCAACGAATCAAACCGCAATTCTGTGCAAGTATGAAATATCATCTAGCCGTATAACATATAAAATTTGGTGAAGATCGGCAAAGCAGATCTAATTCTATAGCAATTCGAAATTTCACGGTTCGGTATAGTAAATGAAGATTCATCTATGAAAAAGCCAAAGATTAAAACAAATGAAAATGCTTCCTCATATAGGGCCTTCATACACTACCTACGATTCGGAGGAAGCAAATTGCAAGTTCCAGCTTGCGGCTGTTTTCAGTATCTACAATGAAAAATTTTTTTTAACTTGTTGAGTAATCTAAACCAGTTTTCAAGTAAAAGAAATACATAAAATGTTTTTTCCTGGCCAAAGCGCCATCGATATTGGTGTTATGAAAATTTTTTTATATTCTGTAGACAGAATATGAATATTGTGCAAAATTACAAATTGGGACATCCGGCCGTTTTTTAGTCACAAATTTCTTTTTAATTTATAAGAACACTAATTTTTGTTAAAAATCTTAAACAAAAATAAATAAATAAATTCTAGTAAATAAAAAAAAGTAATGCGGGCTTTAAGTTTATAACCCTAAAGACAGTCTCAACCCTGAAACGTATAGAGAGATAATTTAATCATAAAAACCAAAAATTAGTGTTCTTATCAATTAAAAAAAATTTTTATTTTGTAATTTTGCACAAAATGCATATTCTGTCTACAGAATATTAAAATAATTCTGTAACTCCGATATCGGTGGGGCTATGGTCAGGAAAAAAATGTTTGTGTTGTTATAGTTTGGTTTTTAGGAAAAACTATTCGTAGCGTGAAACCCAGGCTCGGGATTCGGATTTCGAATGATATTCGAAAGGAAATCTTCCTCGGAAGAAATAAGCACGAACGGTTGGAATATTCATCTCGAAGGGTTTATTTTGTAGAGTATTGTAATTTCAGCAAGATCCTTTATGGTAATAACTTTGCGCGACTATGGTTGAGTTTAGAGTATGACTGAACATGATAAGCATTCCGGCGTTTGATATATATAGTCAAAATCCGCAGACTAGAGGGGTAAGGAAATATCGGTTTGGGTTAAATGTATTAAAGGTTGCGGAAATGCACTTTGGCATAGACTAGGATAAGGACGCGTAATGTGGTCTAGGATGAGCCAAGTATGCTGAGAAATAGGATAAGATCTTTAGCCTGTGTAATGGTAATCATTGCGAAATGCTTGCTGAATGATTGGGGAGGTGCGTTTCACAATGTGGCGTATGCCAGAACAATGTATTTCTTTTTTTTCAAAACAGGTTTAGATTACCCAAAAATTAAAAAAACTTTTTTGATTGTAGATACTAAGAAACACAAAATTTTTATTTTTTATAATTTTTTCATACGATGCATAGTCCCTGGGATATCTGTGTTCAAAATAAAAATGACCGAATCCACGTAGCACAGCAAATAAAATATGGGTGGCTAAAGTCTGATGGAATCGCTTATATATATATATATATATACATATATATATATATAGATATTTGTATTGTAGTGCGTACATACATAGCGCGTACCAATTACAGTCAGTGTGACGGTAACGATGGTTACGAGGAAGACGAGATGCTAGACAGTAACTTTCTTCCGATCGCAGATGCACCTAGAAGATTCGCGTCAAGTAAAGCGCCATCTTTTTTCACTTTTTCTTTCGTGCCCTTTCTTTTTTCCTTCTTTTTAACAGCTCTCCCGTGAGTTTTTCAAATGCTTCTCGATCTCCGGAAAAAAACCCCGTTGGCCCTGGGGCTGCGAGGGTTGTGTGAATACGCTGGCTACAATGGGGCTATCCTTTTGTGGTCCTTTTCCGTCCGATAGGTTGGGTCAGCTTGGTAATATGTTCAAGCAAAACTCGTTCAAGTCAAAACCGAACGTTTCACATTGATTTATTTACGGATCTCTTTTTGTTTCATCCCTCCGTTCGCACGCCCTCGAGTCATGTGACAATTTTAAAGTAAATTGTTATCTCGCGTTCCAATATTTCTACATTTATAATAGAAAAAAAATGGGAAATTGCATTAATATTATTTCATTCAAAAGGTTTTAAACGTACTACACCTTTCTGGTAGCAAATATTCATTCAAATGATTTTGACTGGATAATATAATAAATTTTCTAAATCTCCATTAAGAGAACTTCGGACCTCTGATTGCCATACAAGTAAAATGTCAACGAAAATCGTAAATATCAAGATTTTTAGAGAGATTCGTTCCCAAAGTAAAGTTCAGCACACACTTTGCAAGGGTTACAATCATTTTGATACTATTTTCGCAAATATTAACCCAAAACCGAAAGAATAATCCGACCTGACATTTTTCGCGTTTTTCAAATCCATATCGAAATGTTCAGGTCGGATTATTCTTTCAGTTTTTGATTGATAATTGCTAAAGTGGTGTCAAAATGATTGTAAACCTTGAAAAATATGCGGTTAACTCCACTTTGGGAAAGAATCTCTGTGAAAATCCTGTTATTTACGATTTAAGTTCACATTTTGCTCACATAACCAATGAGATGTACGGAGTCCCCTTAAGCAATTTTTTTAAAACAAATGTTACAATTTTCATTTTTCAATTGTCTAGTCTACGTTATCGTTACAATCAAGTAGATTTGTTATGTATATACTATACTGAAGGAAAAGCAAAAGAAGAATTGAGTACATAGGCAAGCATGTCTACATAAGCATAGTATGTCTACATAAACGCTCCTGAAATACCTTGAGAATCCACTATATTATCTTTATCGGTTGAAATATGGACACGGGTAAGGTATCGGCTGAGAATAGGACGTTAAGAGGAGAAAAACGTTTTTCCTGGTAAAAAAGGTTACGTACGTAAATAATAAATATAGATATCAAAACAGTATATCGATACTTCACCATTTTTTCTTCCTGTTCTTTTTTTCTTTTTTTTTCACCATTCTTTTCTTCCTACCCTTCCGAATGATATACCTTTTTTCGATGGTTGCTCTCTCGTGTTTTCAGCGTTTTTGCCAACACACCCAGTGTGACAGGTGCATTCAGGAATGCAACTCGTCACCGCGCAGTGGAGAAATACATTTCGGGGAAACGGGAGTCCCACGCCGTGAGTTCGAAGAGACAAAAAGTTTTTTTCTTCATCCTTTTTTTTTACCAGACCCTCTTTTAGAAAGTCTTTAAACCTAAGTGATCCTACTTCTTAAGTGTCACGCTATCGATCATTTCTCGCTGAGTAAACTGTATTGCTAAAAAAATGCACCTGATCGTTGTAGAGAAGTGATGGTTTTCAGGATGAAAAAAAACATTTCTCAGCATTAACACATCCTCGGTGAATCTTAGGTGCATTTGAATTTGGTAAATTAAAAGTGTCTTTTGGAACGATCACACTAATTACGTACGCTGACACTTTGTCAATGAATAATAATAGATATATGCAGGTACACCGAAAAAACGCCATGGAAAATCAAACCAACATGCATTATAATGCACGTAATATATGCATGCAATGTTCTCGCTTTTCCTATTGAATCGTATGTCGTATGGATAACGATCCGCCATCTTGTTGAAATCGTAAGGGAAATCAAATACTATCACGAATATTCCGTTCGGGAAAAATTCGTATAAAACAATTCGTTTAAAGCAATTCGTCTAATAACAATTCGTCTAATCATATTTTATCTGAAACAATTTGTCTAAAACAATTCGTCTAATCACAATTCGTTTAAAACAATTCGCCTAATAACAATTCGTGTAATAACAATTCGTCTAATAACAATTCGTCTAAAACAATTCGTCTAATAACAATTCGACTGTCACACTAAATTTGTTTATATTTTTCCAATGTTAGGCATCCAATATTTATGATGAGCTTAAAACTGTTTCGTTAGGTTAGATTAGGTCAGAATTCCAATGCCACATGTCCCAAGGTTTAGTTTTTTTTTTTAAATATACCTATCTCCTTGCTGTTGTTAGTGCCGTATGATATGGAAACTGCCTTCTGACATATATGTATACATATATAGGGGGAAGCGCGAGAAACAGAATATCTGAATATCTCTGTTGAATTTGAAGATACATAGTTCGTAAATATCGAAATTTAAATGGTTTGAAAGGGCACACATGGCTGTCATAATTTTTTTCATTTTTTTCATTTTTTACCAGTTTTTTCAAGGTTATCACCAGTTTTTTAAATTGAATGGCATATTTTTTCTCCTTAAACATTGTAGTCGGCATCCAAACGAATCCAACAATGTAACACAGTATGAGCTTTAAACTAAGCTATTAGCAAATTGTTTAGACGCATTGTTTTAGATGAATTGTTATTAGACGAATTTTACGCAAATCCGAATATTCATCATGTTGATGGGTGCCATTTTTGGTGTATAGAATCTTTCAAGGGAATTCCGAATCAGATTTATATGCATCGTTGCATCTTCCGACCATGTTAAGAAAGCTCTCAATTATAAATTGCAGATACCAAAGAATTATTCATGTTATATCAACTGACAGATTCAATTACTAAGATATCGGTGTCAGTTAACGTTTCCATTAGTGTGATAAAAATGGTTGATTTAAAAAAAAAACAGAAAATCATGTCTGTCAAGATTTGAACGAGCAATTTCATTGACATAGGAAATTTATTAAAGGGAACAACCAAGATAGAGTAAAAGAGACACGCGTAAATGTTTCCAGAGAAATCACGAAAATCCATTTCATCCCGCCTGACGTCTTGCGGCATCTCTCATATTTCCTAGTGCTACGTCTTAACAGACGGACGAGGTAAGATTGTAATAAAGCTCTACCATAGCGACTGCATATCCAACCGAATTGAGTATTCAATTCGTGTTCCTTGGTGCGCAAATCTTGACTAGGCTGACATCTAGAGGCATGAGAAAATTCGATCGTGATCTGAGGATGCAGTCGCATTAACCGATCTGCAGAGGATGTCTAACGTCACCAGAACATAAGACATATACAACCAGGATACAAGTAGATATAGATCAAGCTGAATCAGCCAGTAGAAAAAACCATCGAATACAGACACAATTATTTAATAAAATTACCTCAAATTTTTGAATTCTGGTCAGTATTGTGAATAACTGTCTAATACATGGATTTTTACTACCTACCCTACTATGACGACCCTGAATTCCTCATTGAGGTCAAGGACCTTATTTGAAGTCAAACTTGTCAGGATAATGGGTTAGTCCAATGCAGCTCGGAATTGGCCAGTGCTAATACCAGCCATGTTTGCTAAGCGCAAACTTTCTTCCTCCTAGATCTTTAGGCTGAATTTTTCTTTTTTTAAGGATTTGGTTTCTTGAGGAAAGTTCAGGTTTCATTGTTCTCCCGATCCTCGTCGACTAAGAGACCAACGTATTGACATTGACTTTTGATGTTTTCTTGGTTATGTCCCGACTAAATGCGTTTCCACTTTTAACTTCTAAATCTTCATTTTTTCCTTTTTCTCTCTACTTTTTTTAAAACTTTTTTCTCACTCTATTCCTCGGGTCTCCTTAACCGATGCTCGTGCATTAAATAGGTAATGTGCTTCGTCAAAATTCATATGACTAATTAGAATTAATTAAGCATCCACATAGGTACTTGCTTTTTCGAATCGGTAGGTACCTAGTGTACGTACACATATGTATATAGACACGTGTATACCTACGATCAAATAGACTCACGTCAGCCGCGTATTTCCGTTATGCTAATTCAGTAGCCAGTAGCAGTCGGGCGTTGGGTATATCGGAGAATGGTAAATTTACCTGTCTATTTAGCATACACGGAGTGGTCTGATAACTATTCATAGACCATTGGAGAATTCTGAAATGGCTATTACTCTATAAAGTGCATTTAACGTTTTTATATATTGGAAATATAACTACGTTATGTATATGATAAGATGAGAAATTATTTTTCTCACGAAAATGGAGTGTAGTGACGATTTATGTATCGTCGATATTTTTTTCCACGGCGAGCCAGTGTCGCTGTAACTTCATTGACGTGAGTACGCGATAACACGTATGGGCTTGTGTACGCATAGGTAGGTAATTGAACGCGAAGAGACGACGGCAATATTATTTTAAGCAAAATCAAATTACTCTCGATTTTCACGTTGTACATAGTGAGGTATATAAATTACGTCTATTATACCTCGAGCGAAATTTTACTGAAAAATGTCAGTCTATGGATACTAGCCATGTGTATACTAGTGCATGGAAAAATTTATTTATGAATATATATAATGTAAATTCATAAATAAATTTTTATATATATATATACATAAACTTGTCGATCGTATAGTTTGAGGACATGCAACGTAAAGGGGCGTTCACAATAGCGAGCTGGTGCGTTTTTCTTTCTTGGTTTTTTTTACAAAAATATTACCTTTGGACATCACAGCATTGAAATTCTATCATATCCTAATCTAACGAAACCCTTTTTAAAGCCCATCACAACTCCAAGAGCCTAGCATTGGAACAATTTGAACAAATTCGGTGTGACTTTATGGCTTATGGAGGGTTTTATGGCCCTGAAAAAAGTCGTTACGCTGAAAATTCTTCAAGGACATATTTCAAAACAGCCACATTTCACCAAAAAAGAAAACACAGGTCTCCTACTCCGCGCAAGCAACGGACAATATTACGATGTACGATACAAGATTTTAAATCAAATTATAGAAAATTTGTGAAACATAGGAATTCTAGAAATTGGTAAATTCTGTGCCATATATATATATATATACCCCCAAAACTCTCACAGAAATGGCGCACTAAGATTATCAGAATTTATGAGGTATGCATTTTTACAGAATCACGCGTTAACAATATCAGAATTTCAAGCGTTACGCATTTTCTTGACGATTTTCGTGACGCATGATTTCTCCTGAAATACGACTTAATAAACATCTTAATGTTAATAACTAATTCGTAAATGAAATCGTCTTCAAAGTAGCCCAACGTCATATTTATGTGAGAGAATTTCAGTGCTATGCCGTTATATTGTTTTTGGTATTCTTTCCTAAATGTACAGAAAAGTAATCAACCGGCGACGATGAACTTTGTTAGAACTGCAATTCTTAAATGCAGGTCGGTGCAATACCTACCGAGCGAACGTTGAAGTATAACAAAATCTGTATGTATATGACACATATGAGGTGCACCATACAATGCAGTTTACAAATGTGCAGCAAGCATGTCATTCATTCCCGAGTTTCATCTCCCGTTAATTTCACGTCTTGTTCCTATTATAAATACGACATGCTGATATCAGTCTTACGCTATCTACCACTCATTTATTATTTATTCCATTAACACGTTGAATGCCGCGTCACCCAGATCTGGGCGGTGGCTATGTTTCGTCACTTTCGCTTCTTCACAAGAAAATGGATGACGCCTTTCTACTTTTCCCCTTAAATAGGATTTTACAAATATTTAATGGAATTAATACATGTAAATATAATCGCTCTATGCACCTCCCGTATATTTACGACTTCAATTATCGGATTTCGAACCGGTAGGAAACTCTACCGATTGTCGCTTGGCGTTCAACGTGTTAAAGTCCCATTGCCCGTAATAAAATGCACAATAAAATCATCTTTGAGCTGTTTTGCTTGACAGTAAAGATATATACGTAAACGTTATTCCAAAAATTTAAGAAAGCAATTTTTTGCACGCACCTACTTTTAATGTCTGTCACTCTTTGTATTTGAACGTTTAACTCAATTGCCATTTGCATGCGTATAAATTTATCAAACATTTATAACATGAAAAATGATTGGCTTTCCCGCTATACATTACTGCAATGTCCAACACATTCGATATCCCTTTTTTTAATAAATTTTATTTGAAATTCCCGCCACGAGCACTCTAGCTTTATAATTCTCAAGGATACTCCACTCTTTCAACCCATCATATGCATTCTCATATATCTTCATACGCACACATGCACATACATCATTGTCCCTCCTGGCTGTTCGATCGTGCTTCCCAATTTGATTGTTGCAAATGCGCAGAGTAATTAACGAAAATCTGATGCAGATACGCGCAGCCATTAGTCGCGCGTGGTTCTTGCGCCGCAAACATATAAATGCATCCAAGTCCTTCCCTTTACACAAACGTGAACGCGTAAATATAATCACGCGACGAATAGCAGGACGTCGACCTTTTCGGAGACTTTGGGTCTGGTCGAAAATACAATGCCACAATAATGCCAACCAAACGGGTATGATAATATTCATGCCGAAACACGCAACGCCCGATAGTCGATTCGTATACCGATGCATGATGGAACATGGCGGTCCGGTGCATCGCAATGACAATATGCGACAGTGCTAAATTGCACTAGGTAGGTGAATTACCAGACTTACGCGGACCTATACTGAACGCGGTATGTAACAGGTCATTTAATATGCAAAGGTTTTAAGTGGGCTAATTAGTCAACATCGTTTTAACAGTGTGACTTGAAAATTGCACGAGAATATGCATTTGATAATTTTAAATAACCATATTTTGCATTTTGATATAAAGGTTTGATAAGAAGTGTTCAAACGAAACGAAATGGATTTTCTTATTGCTTTTTAATAATAATTATAATGATTTTTTATTATTCCACTTTATAAATTTTATTTTTTATTATTGTCTGCGTGCGTTTGATACGGGTTAGAATTGATTTTTTAATGATTACCAAGTTTTCAGTTCGTTTTAATGCGTCTTGGATGAAAGGAAAATTATGTAAGTGAGTCTTCTTGCGTTTTTCGTCGCGGTCAGAAATTCGCGTCAATCTCCATCTTATATTAGACAATCTTCCGGTACCTGAGATGATTTTGAGATGGCGGTCATTGTGGTCTTGCTGTTAGGGTGTCACGATCCTGTTCCCTAAGTCGTAAACTTTTACGTTTCTCTTACAGATTCTAAAACCGGCATTTAAAGTTTTCCTAAAAATCAGACTTTAAACTTAGCACTGTGTCATTATCTTGATATCCCGTTCGATGTCGTTCGATATCGTTTCCGGGTTATTAAATGGACTTTAAATGGACGTACCGGCAGATACTGCGATATCCTTATATGTAATGTAGATTTGTAATTTACATAAATGAACCGAAAAAAAATGTATGCTTGTCTTTTTATATTGAAAATATAATATTATCATTTGATAACACGTAAGTGCCTCCACAGCACGTTATTAATTTAATGCATGATATACTCGTGCGGTTAGTTTCATATTCAGAGGACTCTTTTACGTTGTATAAGTCATAATAAGGTGACCCCTCGACGTATAATTGAACTTTCTACTTGATCATACAAATAATGAATTACATATGCTTCATAGCACTGTTTTCATGTACAACCGATTCTACAGGAATATACGTAATACGCATATTAGTTATACATAATTATATTGGGGACGAAAATTTAAATATCATTGCAGAATCGATTATATTTCATTCATTAGCGATTTCTAGGAATCAGTCAGTGCAACATAACGTATTATACATATAAACTAAATATATTTGTATAATAAAATTTAAAAAAATAGATATGTAAAAAAATATATTTTGATTATATTCCACCTATAAGTCGCTCTCGTGGAGGATAGTCGATCGTAATTATATCAACTGGAATTATGTATACCGAAGAAAATTATTTTTGGAAAAATATTGCAACATATCTTTCCTCCTTCTCTATCTTCGTTCCTTTATAATTTTATTTTCCCGCCTTCTCTCCACCGTACATAAATGCCATGAGACACAACGTTAAAAAATGTAAAAATAATAAAGTCCAGGACACCGTTACTATCTTGTCGCTATCGGAAACAATCGACACGAGAGACAAAACGATGTTACCCGATTGTTTCTCCGGTACCGTGACGCCATCAGTATTTCCGTTCTCCATCTACCCCTTTTGGTCGTCTGAATATTCATATGCGCGCGATTTCAACTGCTTGCCTGATTTCACCCTTTTCATTTACTCTCTCTTCTTCTCTCGGTTCTCTCTTTTTCTCCCTTGATTTGCATATCTCCCACATACCGATCTACAGACTTTTACACAATACCAACTAAAAATTTCTCAAGATAATATATATACATGTGTAT